ATTCCTCCTCCTCATCCCCAAAATGTCACCGCCTCGCTCCACCGGCACAAAACCTCATTAATGAGACATTTCCCTTTCCTCAATTAAGCTGTTTTCCCTTGCCCACCCTCTCCCCCTGCGCGGGGGCTTATCCTTCCCCCAATTTCCAGCAACTTCCCATTGAAGTGTCACTCCGGCTCCCAAGACAACACCGGCTGATTCATCAGCTCCGAATATTTTAAACTCTGTTGTTCTCCCCAGCCCTGTTTTCCCCTCTTTCTTGAAAATACCGCGGGCTCCCTACCACGAGGGGATATTTTCCCCTTCCCTGGAGCAGAACCAGCCCTTCCAGGACGGGTGGATGGGAACAATCCCGTCCCATTTGGGAACGATCGGGGTTTTGTCCCCAGCTGCAGGAGGCAGAGGAAGGAATTGCATCGAATCCTGGCAGGATCCGGCCCTGGGGGGAACACGCAGGATGGTACCACCGCTCCCGTCCTGCTCGTGATGCAAGAAATTGCCCAAAGCTGGGGGATGGATGCAAAAAGTTGTCCGTGCTAAGGGGATGGGGAGCTGCTGGGAGCACTGGGAGCACTGGGATGGGGGCTTCTAGCTCGAGAAATTCAGGGAGGAGGTGGAGGTCGGGCAGGACCAGCACAAGCCGACCCCTCCGTGAGGGTGTCCCTGCCCCAGGGTCAGTGTTACCGGGAAGGGACAGATGAGCCCTTGGCCGAGACGCCGGGCAGGCGTTTGCTCTCAGACCACGTTGGGGAAGTGGAGCCGGCCACCACGAGAGGCTCCCAGCTCACCCGCAGCCCAGGCGATACGGGATGACCGAGCAGGAGGCTTTCGGCAGTGCTGGCAGCCGAGGAAATACGGAAAATCCCACTCAGCAGAAGGGAGGTGGAATCCCATCCACCCACCCGGCGTTTTGCCCTGTTCCTGAAGGTGCTGCACCCCGATGGGGTCCCCACTTCAGGGGGATGGGAGTTTCTTGGAGCAACCAGAGCGACGGGGCCAGGCTCCCTGGAGAAAAACCTCCCCAGGTACCAGCTTGGCCCCTTGCACCAGCTTTTCTTGGTTCAGTTTTGCATCATAAAACTCTTCCCTGTCCAATGGTGGGACTGAGGAGGAGGGATCGGGAAGAGCTGCCCCGAGCTGATGGGGAGACAGAAGCTGGGAGCGGAGCTGGACCCGCCGGGGACGCCAGGCGGCCCCAGGGACCAGCAGCCAAAGGGGTGATGAGGAGGGGAGACCCAAACCCGGCCAGGGGAGGTTGCAAAGCAAAACACTTTGCTGCCGCCGCGCCGCGGTGCCTTGGCCAGGCTGGTCGGGTCCCTCAGGTCCCTCCCCAGCTGCTCTGCACGTCCCCTTCCCCTCCCCGCTGCCAGCAATGCCTTTGGGGGGCTCCAGCCCTTACCAGAGTGAGTTTTGTCCTTCCCCAAATCACTTTCCACAGAGTTTTGAACAGGACATCACCTCTGCAGGGTCCTCACCTTCTTTAGGAGACGTTCACACCATCCAGGAATTGCACCGAAACCCCCAGCCCAGCCCCCCAGCCCAGTTTAACCGGCAATTTAATCCATCTGCCCCCAACACAGCCGGGGCCGGAGCCGCCTCCTTCCACCCGAGAAGCTCTTCCAGCCCCAGCAGCCACCGTGGTTCGTCAGCATCGCCCCGACGCCGGAGGAGTCCCACGTCTCCCTTTATTAAGTCTCTCTGCGTTTCTCAGCTATAAATAGGTCAGCGAGGTTCAAAGCAAAGCACGTGAAGACACGCGTAAAGCAGCCGCCGAAGCGGGACTTTGCAGAGCCCGGCACAGCCGTCTGCGTCACAGCGGCATTGACGGGCTTGGAAAAAGGGTGGCAAAGCAATTTTCCCTGGGAGGGATATAAAAATACCAGTGCTGTTTTTGGAAACAAGACGTTACCATTGAGCTTGTCGCTGGGAATCAGGTCCAAGACAACGAGCAATTTCCCCATCAGGTATCCAGCACCAGCAGGTCACGTTTGATAGAGGAGCATCAAATGGGGGGTGACGGTCCCCGGGGAGCAGCAGTAGTCACCATATTAGTGAACACTCGCCCATGGCTCAGCCCGCAGGGACGGCAAATTACGGGCTCCATCCTTGGCAATAAAACACTCCCCACGGCTGCCAACTTCACGCTTAAGCAGAAAAAACCCAGAGCCCTTTGCAAGCCCGGCACCACACCAGAGACAAACGCAGTCTGTAGCGGTGGGAGAGGGGGGTGCCCGCAGCACCCCCAGCCTCGTGCTCGATCCCCACCCGCTCTACGCTGAAGCCATCCCTAATTGCAGAGTCAAAGCTCGTCCTTCCCCAGCCCAAAAGATGCCGGAGCGGTGGAGCCAAGAGGCCGCCGGCAGCTCGAGCTGCTCCCGAAACCCACCAACCACCTGCCCAAAGCCCATCCCTGGCCAGAGGCTCATTAAGGAACCTGCTCCCTCCCAAACTAATTAAGAGTAAACAGACGCCGGGGGCTCCGGTCACGGCAGGATGCGGAAATTTGCTCCGCAGGTGCCGGTCTCCCTGTTGGAGCACACGCACGTGTCCGGCTCAGCTCCAGCCTGCGGCAGGGATGTGCCAAGACACCTTCCAGCCGTGCCGGTGGGCTCCGCTGCGTCTCTGGAGGCCCAAATATGTCGGGAAGAGGGGTCCCACGGGGATGAGGGGATCCCACGGGGACCATCCCTTCTCCCTGCCCCACGTCCCCCAGTCCAGCACTCCCCACACC